CCTGAGCAGGTGAGGCTCAGTAGAGTGGCCTTCGCTCAAGGACGCCAGTGCCCTGAGTGCACATTCCTCCTCTGCAGTTGCTCCGACCCTACCGCCATTTCACTGAGAGGACAGACCTCCTCACATCCTCTGGGTTCCTGACCCCTAACGCTGACTGGAGGCACCTCAATGAGGGCTGCCCCACGCCCACCAGGTGTGTCTGTCTGCACCTGCTCCTGCCTCAGCACCTGCATTAGCCCCATGAAGGTGATCTTGTCGCTGCACTGGCCTCCTTGGGCATCACCACTCCGCCCTCTCACTGACATCTCACAGCTGCCTGTCCCGAGCACCCAGACACACTCCAAAGGACGTGAGTGTGCCAGAGGGGATATGTGCACGTTGTGTCGGGGATGTAGGCACGCCGGGGTTGACGGAAGTGCGGCGGAGGGGCGGGGGGAACATGCACGCGCCGTGGTCTGGGACTGTTGCAGGCATGCGTGGGTGACAGCGTTCTGAGGGACATTTGCACGCAAGGTGAGGGGATAAGATGCGCACACTGGAGACCTGTGCAGATCTGTAAACCCGTGCGGCGAGCCCAGGAGGACGTCAATCTGGCCTACCACCATGGCTGTCCCTGTGATTGCACACCTTCTGGGCCAGGAGGCGGGACTGGAACAGCCACTCCACAGCACTGATGGCCCACAGGTGCTGCTTTAACTTGGCCTGCAGGCTCTGCTTAGTGCTGCTCACAGCTGCTGCCGCCACGTTGAGAGTACATGCCACCCTCTGCTGGGCCCCGCCTCCCCTGTCCCCACTGGGCCAGGCCTGCGGTGGAGGGGCCTCTCTGTGAGCCCCTGAGGACCACAGCCAGGGCCGCCACGGCCTGCCCCCATCCCCAATGCCACAAGTCCCCGCCCACCCACGCCTGCTGCTCACGCAGCCTGCTGATGGGTGGTTACTGTGACAGCATCCCGATGAATTTGCATATTACCCTATTATTAGTATAGACGAGTCTTCTCCCAGACAGGGACCATCCTGCTATATATTGAAGAACCTATGTTCACAAATGTTTTTTAAGTAATAGAAGTAGGAAAAATTTCCTCTATTATATTTCACTACTTTGCAAAAAAATGTAATTTAATATTGTAAAAATTATTTTTATAAACATTTATATAATTTATAAGGAATACACTCTAAAAATATTCCTTAAATTAACCATTTGTTGCTCCATTATACCAATCATTATCCTTACAAGCCATTCTACCATCAAGGTGCTTAATAATTAACAATAATGATAAAGTTCAAATATTAAAGAGGCTATTATAATAGGTTAAATCTGTTATTGTCATAGGCTATATTTTTCAAAATGTCTGCAAGTTAAAATTGGTCAGATGCAATTGAGCAATCGATCATAGATTCTCCATCTCAGCAGTAGATCTTGGAAGTGGAGGCTTCCTCTAGGCAAGCTTTGACAAAAGACACTTATGAAAGTGGTTTCTTAATTTCTCTTTGATTTCTTCAATACTGTTTAAAGTATCAGCTAGGTTGCCTGTTCTCAATCAAGTTAAAATGCAATTTAAAATATCTGATAGGTGGTTTCTGGAATTTATCATGTAAACAAAGGAAAAGAAAAAATATGTGTATATTCTTATAGTAAACTAGAGGCCTGGTGCACAAAATTCATGCACTTGGGCAGTGGGGAATCCCTGAGCCCGGCTTGTGCCTTCTTGTAGTCCAGGACCCCTTGCTCTTTACCACCCGCCTGCTCACTCCTTACCACTCAGCTCACTGTTCCTTAGCACTGCTGCAGAGGAGGGAGAGGCTCCTGCCACCACCACTGTGCTCACCAGCTGTGAGCCCGGCTTCTAGCTGAGCAGCGCTCCCCCTTTGGGAGCGCACTGACCACCAGGGGGCAGCTCCTGCATTGAGTGTCTGCCCCCTGGTGGTCAGTGCATATCATAGCGACTGGTTGTTCTGCTGTAATGGTTGCTTAAGCTTTTATTATATAGATAACTTCCTTAAATCTAAATACATGCAATAGGTCATATGCTGAGATTCATTGTTCTCTAAACTCTGTAGGGATGTAATTAAATGCTAAGAAATAGAAAGCACTTTACAGTTTTATAACACTGAACTGTTTTTACTATCGTAATAAGTGAGGCACATGCCTATTTAGTTTATGAACTAAATGTGTGCCATAGTTTATTAACTCACCAAATAAATCTAACTTCCCTTCAAAACAAGACACCAGCAACAAATGAAGTGCCATTAATTTCTATGAAAAACTTTTAAAGAAATTGTTTCAAGAACAAGCAGCCTGGATCCCACTGAGGCCCTTAGGGGTTTCAGGTACTCTGGAAGGTACACATGTAGTTTATTTTATTTTATTTTTGAGCTTTGTTTTTAAAATGTCTTTTTTTAAAAAAATATATTTTATTGATTTTTTAGAGAGAGGAAGGAAGAGAGATAGAGAGATAGAAACATCAATCAGCTGCCTCCTGCACATCTCCTACTGGGGATGTGTCCGCAACCCAGGTACATGCCCTTGACCGGAATCGAACCTGGGACCTTTCAGTCCGCAAGCCGACGCTCTATCCACTGAGCTAAACCGGTTTCGGCTTTAAAATATCTTTATTGATATCTTTATTGTTGAAAGTACTCCATATGTCTCCCTTTTCCCCCCATTAACCTCTTCCAACCCAGCCCCACACCCCCATGGCACACATGTAGTTTTAGAACCATGTATTTAAGGATAATATTACTCTAAATCCTTCAAATGAGTAGCTTGTCTCACAACCATCCCTTATACAAGATACATGGCCCCATGTACAACTGTCCTGATTTCCAATGCTTTGTCCTATACATCCAGTGTTTGGTTTAGTGATTGTGGCCATTATAGTTACATTTTAGAACATGATCTAACATATCCTCAGGATAACTGACAACTGAACAGCCTTGAATCAGCACTGGTACTAGAGTAACACCTTCTAGGTCTGCCCCCAGATGCTTCCACAGGCATGGCATTTCTTTGTCTTTGATCTTCACCTCCTTTCATTGCTTCCACCTTCCTCCCATCACCTGCTAGGGAATTCAAACCTTCTGGGGACTTCTTACTTGTTTCAGTGTTTATATTCACCAGACCCATAATTATAGTTTATGTCTACAGCACCAATGATAATTTCAAAGCCATTTACAAATAAAATATTTTGATACTCAAAATAACTGAGGAAACTGAGGCATAAGGAGGCACATGCATCACCTGAAGTTGTGTCAAGAGGATCTGCCTCATGACTGAATCCGAGTCTCACTTTACCCCATTACTGCCTCATCATTTCTTGGTCTTTGGGTTAGACTTACATTGGAAATTCTTTCCCACCAGTTGTGTGATTTTTAAATATGTTGGTTAGACTATTTGAATTTTAGCTTTTTGGTTGGTAAATGGGGGTAACAATCCCTATTTCATAGGGTATTTTGAAGATTAAATGAAATAATGTTCGCAAAGTAAAAAAGAACACCCCAGCAAACCTAGAATAAGATAAGCATTCAAAAATGTTAGTTCTTCCCATCCCTTCTCATGGAAATATTTTACCTGAAGGTAGTTTCTTTAGGTCCACAGAGGATTTCTAAAGCTCCTCTGTAATTAAGCAGTGGGCCAGAAGGGCAGAGTATACTTAATGTATCAGCAGGGTGACAAAATTTAATTTAACCAAGGATTTATCAATCATCTACTACATCCCGGCACAGTGCTAAGTGCTACAGATGCACTAATGAAGCAGCAGCGGCCAAGGAATTTTGGCAGCGACAAGAACAAGACTTGATGATTTCCTAGAAAATGAAGAGATTCCAAGAAGGCTAGTCTGCCAAGTTTAACAGAGCTCTTGGTAAATTCTCCAAAATAATTTAAAATAGAAGAAAATGATTTAAAAATTTATAAATTTTGGAGTTTACTCTTTGATGGCAAGTGAATACATTTTATTCACTTGCTAGTAATATTCACCACCTCTCAGGGCCACAGGGCTCCTGTTTGTAGAACGGTGATAACGGTATTTTATAGCATTATGAGAAAACTAAGATGGAATATTACTAATATAAAACTAAGATGGAGTATACAGTAGTAACTAGGTAATGATTTTTTGAGTGTTTTATATGTATTAGATATTCTAAGCCTCTTAAAATTTGTTAGCTCATTTAAACTTTACAACAACTCAAGGAGATGGATGGAATTACTACTATTTTAGAGATGTAGACATCTCTAAAGCACAGAAAGTTGTTGTTTTTCTTTTTTTCAGAAAACCTTGACCAGAGCACCCAGCTAGTCATTGCCTGAGCGGGAACTTAGACTTAGGCAGTGTGGCTTCAGACCCTGTGTCCTTTACCCCTGCCCGCTGCTGCCTCACTTCATCATCACAGCTCATGACATGCCCTTTTCTGCTGCTCTGGAATCCGGCATACAAAAATGTGGCAGATCCTGCCTTTCCAGCAATAAACAGTGGCACTGAGGACACAGGACATGGGCATAACGAGAAAAAAAGCAGTATGTGGATCACGTTGTCAAATGCCAGAGAAAGGGTGTAACTACACGTTCTATAGAAGTTTGGACCAAAGCTAATATTGGGGATGGAGAAAGCAGCAAGAATTTGTAGTGGAGGTAGACCTTGACTTAGATCTTGGAGGGGAACCAGAACTAAAACCAGCCCAGAGGAATTGGGAGTTATTTTGGATGGTCAGAGCATGGGGAGAGCAAGGACACAGACCCAGTGGTCAGTGTCCTTGGGAGGAAGGTTTCTACATGGGAACACCGAGGCTAGAGAGCAGGAGGCAATTTAAGTCACTTTGTAGGATGATTTCAAAGTCCAAGAGAATAAAGAGGACCTCCCGCTGCAGGGCCACCGGGGTGTGTGAGTGGCCTTGTGCACGTACTCACATACGCCTGGCCATCACATAGGCTTTCAAAAGGCTGATGGGGCGGGGGTGGGGGGGTGTTACACGCAGAAGCACACAGAAGTCTTCAATGCACATACCTACATTCAGACACTTCCCGGTTATTCCAGCGATGATTATCTGGTTGGTGGATATTCCATGGCCTCTCCTTCCCTACGGCCTGTCTTTTGGGCTTGTCCCCTGCTTGTCAGCACCTGAGGGTAGAGGCAGAGACAACGTGAGTTTCCAATTAGTCGTTTCCCATCCCCTTCTTCTTAGTAGCTGTGGTTAAAAATTTGCTTTGGGAAGGAGAGATATATTGTGGATGATCAGAACATTTCTTTTTTTAAATGGCACTTCCAGTCTCTTTAGTAAACAATTTGCTGATGAAGAGCAGAGCTCACATTTGAGCCTAACCCTGGATTGTGTAATTGTTAATTCCCTTTCATCAAAGACATACTCCTAGGTACTTTCAGATAATGTTCTTGTAGCAGGACCTTGGTTCTGCTGAGCTTTTTAGGCGAGAGTGGTTAAATGTACTCTCCTTAAAATTGCTAATATCGCGTGCCTCCAGACGGACCTTTTTATAGGATGATATTATCCATATCAATCATTTTTACCTTTGCTGCTACTTGAATATATTAAACAATTGCTGCTGCTTCCTAAGTTGAATAGATTATCAGAAGACCTGAGTAATTCTCTAGCTGCAAAGTACATATTTGGCTCTAAAATTAAAGTGTTGGCTAGATAGGTAGAAAAAGAAAGAGATGGGGAAAATAAAACAGATTGCAATGAAACAAATTTGCAATGCCAAACTTTTTTTTTTTAAAGTAGGATTTCATTATTTCAGGCTATTATTAAGAATGTATATGACATTGAATAGATTGTAGGAGCCCAGTCCCAATATATTGTTATCACTAGTATATATTTGAATATAGTAGATGTAAAAATTATTCTAGTCGAAAATGGCCAGAATACCTACCTTGAATACCCATATTTTAACTTGGGTCTCTTGTGTGAAAATATATTTAGGGTGCAAAGCAAACACACACACACACACACACACACACACACACACCCTCTTAAGAAGAGGAAAGACCTTAGAAACTTATATAGTTGGTTAATAACCAGCTATCAAATCTGTTGTTCTCCTCTTTGGTTCATACTGCATTACATCATTTCCAGTTCTTCCACTTGAATCCTTGTCAGCTCTTCACCTCACAATCCCAACATTGCCCAAATACTTCTAGAGAAATCAGAGAATGAGTAGAAATAAGTGCCTCCATTTAATTCAGGACATGGCACACATCAGTAGTGCCCACCTGTAAACTGGCTCCATTGCTCATGAGAATGTCCGGGCATGTTCATAGGCCTGTTAACCCCAACATAAAATAAAGCAAAGCCTCAACTACTCTGCTTCTGAATTTTTTTGATAAACTAGAATTATTTCTAAAGTTCTCAAATAAACAGAAATCATTATAATTATGAATAATTAAAACGCTAAACTCAAGAGGGTACTCAACATTTATTACACTGTAGAATTCATCCCCTAAGGGCAGTATCTTCAATTAGTTCAGTTTTACAACACAAGAAAAAAATGTGACAATCACTAATTACAGGTGTTTAGTACAAGGAGCAAAACAAGCTAACTTGCCTTTAAATCACCCTTTTCCACCCAGAAAGGCACTGTTCACTTTTAGATTCTTAACATTTATACTAATTCCAGACCACAGAAAAGCAATAGATAATAGAAACCATTTATTTTTTAAATTTGCAAACATTGATTAAGCACCTGCCATGTGTCAGGATTTATGTTAAATGAATAACATTCCAGTATAAGAACTAGCTAATGGTTATTTTTAAACATATGGAAACATATATACAAATTTGACTATATCAATATATTTGTATATTCTTACAAATATAAAGTTTGGAGTATATATCTATAATTTATAAAATGAAGCTATTCAGTTGTTTTCCTCATTATTCAATTATTTTTTTTCGTTTTCTTTTCCTTTTTCTTTATTGATTAAGGTATTACATATGTGTCCTTTCCCCCTATTACCCCCCCCACCTCCCACCCCAACTCATTCC